AAAAATAAAAAAGTCTTTCCTAGATGAATACTGTACTTACATCATTTATATTCCACCCTTTCCTCCCTTTAACTTCCTCCATATCCCCACCACCACTCCCTCTCATGCTCATGACCTCATTTATAAGTTCCTTTTACACACACACACACACACAGAGAGAGAGAGAGAGAGAGAGAGAGAGAGACAGAGACAGAGACAGAGACAGAGACAGAGAGAGGACCTACTGGGCCTATTTTATGATGTTTTTATAGACATGTGTTTAGAGCTGACTGCCTTTGAAGGATTGGATAACTTACCAGTGGGCATATGCTTAGAGGGGAAGAAGATGGATTATTCCTCTGTTGCAGTCATTGATTGTCTGTAGCTCTCCATCTAGAGACGAGGCCTTATGAAATGTCCCTAATCTGCACCGTCATGTCAACAGGTGTTGCCATAATGCAGGTCTTGTGGAGGTGACCACATCATCAAGGTTTCCTGGTTGCAGCACATCTCAGTGGTTAAAGGTTCATGCTCAAATTTCTAAACATGTTTTGTACTTTTGTACTGTGACTTTCTTTCCCCCCTCTGGCACTCAATAACATTGATAGCAACACCAGCCTGACAGGAGGAGAAAAATCATACCTGCAAAAAGCATTACTGAGCTGCTTTTCTGAGCCTATTGCAAAGCCATAGCTTTAGCATCACAGTACTTTGTCACAAGGGAAATGAGTTACATGGGTTTACTTCCATGGCTATAGCTGTAGAAGATTGATAAATAAATGCAGTAGTTCTCAACCGCATTTTATTCTCTATGGCTTAAAGCATGGTTGTTGCATGTCTGTCAACCTGAGTTCGAAACAGAACAAAAAGCACTATTAATTATCCCTTACTTGCCCTGGAAAAAATGAGTAACTTTATTAAGTGCCAGCCATCTACTAACTGTTCTTACCACTATGATCTGAACATCTCTTCAAAATTACTATTGCTTATACCTATTTTATGTAGATGCACTAATTACTTAGGATTGTACAACAAACACTATTTTTTTCATGACTCCCAAATATCATATTACCAAGTCTTCAGCATGCCCAGTAGATTTGGACTTCCCTGGGAAATACACTCTTCAGCAGACTGTCCACTTCTCTGACAGAATTCAGTAGTCACAATGAGTTGCCATTGCTGCGATGTCTCCTTCCTGGCTACAAGCAAATGAACCCCTAAAAGTTACTGACTTAACTACCATTACATCTTTATTTTAATAATTACAACAAGGGATAATATTGTGTTGGAGTCTTTAAATTTTTTGATGTATGATTTTTATGTATTATATGGATTTTAAAGATATAAATTATGATTACAGTGAATCCAGAAGTAAGCATTATAACTGAGAAACTCCTTTCCCCAGAATCTGCCTGACTTATTCTACCAAACGCATCTCCTTGTGCTAGACTTAATCACTTACCCATATATATGTCTACTCTTTGAATTAGTCAGGGTTCTCTAGAGTAACAGAATTTATAAAATGAATCTCCCTCCCTCTCTCCTTTCCTCTATCTTTACCTCTCATACACATATATGTTTAGAATTTATTCGAATGATTTATAGGCTGTGGTCCAGCTAATCCAAAAATAGCTGCCTGTGAACAGAAGGTCCAAAATCCAATAGTTGTTCAGTCTTTGAGGTTGGATGTCTCAGTTGCTATTCAGCAATTCTGGGATCCCAAAGAAATAAGCTCTAATGCCAGTGAAGGAATGGATTTGCTAGTGAGGGCAAGAGCAAGCAGGCAAAGATTGAGGCTTCTTTCTTCCATGTCCTTTATATAGGGTTCCAGCCTACAGTGTGGTCCAGATTAGAGGTGTGTCTTCCCACCTCAAAGGATCTAGATTAGAAGTTGATCTTCCTACTTCAAATGATTTTTAAGCAAAAATCCGTCAAGGTGTGTCAGCCAATTTTGGATCTTAGTTGCATGTAGTCAGCTTGACAATAAAATAATCATCACATTCTTCTCTTCCATCTTACAAAATATACTTTCATACTATGTTTTTATAAGAACTATGCAGTCTGACATGCTTGTCAATGTTAGTAATTTCCTTGAATATGTCTCAGATGTTTCTGTTTTATTCCATTTCTTGTTTCTTATTGCCTATGCATATTTATTTGCATAGTTTTTGTGAACAATAGGAACGGCAGACTCTTCCTAAAAATTTCTCAGTTGGCCAGTGACACAATGTTTTGGCCAATAAATTAAGCCAAGAATGAATGAAGCATGGTACCTCCCATTCCAGCCCACTTTAGCCCTTCTGACTCCTAGTATGTGCTGACTTTGATCTCATCTCTTCTTGGCCACAGATAACACTCTCTCCCAGACACTCTGGTATCCGGCATGGAAATTTTCCATTATCCTTTTTTTCTGCTTAGAAATCTAAAATTTATGTTTCATGATATATTGAAAGTCATTTTAAAAAGTCATGTCATTTTCCTGCTAATAACATTGAAGTGGCCTCCCAATCAATTGAAAAAAATTCTTCACATATCTTCTCTCACTGCCCTTGACTTAAAACCATATTTCTTATCTAGATGCTAATTGTGTCATATTACCTAGGGGCTTTTGTACCTGCTATTTATATCACCCTTAAACTTCCCCCTAGGATCCTAAAACAGCAGTCACATTTACATAGAGATTGTTTCTACTTATCCTACATGAGGTATCTCTCTCCATCACTTACCTCATTAAGTCTGCTGACTTGTTTATTGTCCATCTCATTAGTCTTATAAGTTGCAAGAATCTTAACTTTGTAAAAGACAAATATATGCTGCATTTATACTTTTTAAGTCTAAAGGAGGAGTTTTTATTCAAGCAGCTGTAACAGGGATTTGCAGTAAGGGGAGGGGGTCAGGCTCATCTCCAAATACAAGGACATGTCAACATGGGTTGAGTTATAGACAGCAGGATAAGAGGAGCACTATGTGTGTGGGGGATTACTAAAAGGAAACATAAAGTATGGCACAGTTCTGATCTAAAAATTTTCTTACTAAAGACAGCCCAGAACAAGATGTCAAAGATTACAAGGATGGGAGAGTTGTGAAAGCTGAATTAGCGATTTAAAAAAAAAAAAAAAAAAAAAAGAGTAACCAGGTTGAGCAAGCCAAGGACAGGAAAGGGGCATGATCCAGACATAGTTAGGAAGGGTGCTCAGAGGCTCCTGGTTAAAGTTAAGTGATGGAGATCACCTTTGTAACCTTCTTATTCTCTTTGCATCTCCAAAGCAATGTAGAAGTATAGGGAAAGCGACAAACTCAATACAGAAGTAAATATGTTACGTATTCCATTGGCCACATGGAGAAAGGAAAAAGAAACAGGCAAAATTACTTTTAATAATATACTTTACTTAATCCATTATTGGCAATTTTATCATTTCTATGAATAGTATAAGAAAGTATTAATGAAATATCTAACAGCACTTCCTTATAGTACATGTCATAAACTGAACTGGAAATGCAGATCAGTAGTGAAGAATTTGATAGCATGAGCAAGACTCTACTCAGTCCTTATCAGTGAGAAGAATGGGGTGGGAGAAGAACGTGAAACAATATGCAACTATAAATACCAGACAGTGTAGGTCCAAACTCTAGGATAGTGAGTGACCACAAGGTACCTGACAAAGGTTTATTGGATAAATTGATAAATGAATGGTAGAAACCCATTCACAGAAATGGCTGTTGTCTTAAGCGGTTAAGATGTTCCTTTGCCAGGTTTTACTTTCAAGTGTCTACTGTTTGGGGAAAGAATAGATGGATATTCCAAATAATAGTAGAATACTACACTTCAAAATATTTATTAAACACTAAAATAATGATTAAAATATATTAAGGTATTTATTCATTCTGCAGTTGGTTGTTTTCTGTTTTGGGTTTAGTTTTTTTTTTTTTTTTTTCTAAATTGAATGATTTGCAAAATGAATGCTCTGTGCTCTATCCATCCTTTGTTGCTGTTAATGTCCGAAATGGATTTCACTCTCTCTGTTCAATGAAATTGTTTTATCGAATTAATTTTTGTTACTTTACTTTGTTCTTGGATTCTATGTTGAATACCTACCTGTTCATTATTTACTCACTACAAAACGCCTGGGTAGCGATAGCGAGATCCCTCAGCTAGGAACAGCAAAATGTTTGGACTTAAACTATGTGTCATATCACTCCCAAATGCTTCTTTTTCCACCATTCTTTCTCCCTCAACCAATGTGTTAAAAATGAAGGCAGACGTCTTTCCTACTTGCCACACAGTCAGGATGCATTTATTCAACTTGCCTTCGGTTTCCAGCTGTCAAATTGATGTGCCCATCACCAACTAAATACCTCTAAAACACCCAAGAATCGAAAAGATTTGTGAAAATATTTATCTGACAATCTCTCTACATCTCATGTAGTTCCATTTGATAGCTTTGTAGATCCAGATTCCAAAAAGGAAAGGAATTAGAAAACTAAAACGTACTTCCAAATGGGCAGGATGCTACTTTTTTTGCTCCAGCCTGGTGAGTGACAGGAAAAGAGTGCAGCTCCTGTAACCCTCCCCCCAATAATTAAATTTCTTGATAGAGATGTGAACATGTTTTTGATGTAACTCATGAATTTTTTGGCAAGCTTTATAAAGACTAAATCAATGCTAAATCAGAGGTATTTACAATATCCACAAATTTAATCCGAAGAGGATACTTAAAAGCTCATATAGATCTAAATGATGTTCCCCCAGATGGTGAATTAATGTAATTTTAGCAGGAAGCGAAGTTGCACAAATATGCAATATTGAGGCCTCGCACTGGTTTAATGTCTCTGAAGCCACCGCAGCACAGATGTTGCTTATCACATTGGTGCCAGTTGCCTGTCTCTCTCTCCACTACAAAGGGAAGAATGGGATTTGGCAGTTCAGGAAAACATGATTCATTTTCTTACTAATAATTTCTCAGTAATTGAAGCTGTTGGTGACTTTTATATAGAAATGATTTTCGTTATGTTCTTTTCAGGGTTTGAAAGGTGACTTGGGTCCTCAAGGTCCACCTGGCCCAAAAGGAGAAAAGGTACTGTATCTACCCCCAAGTGTCCTAACCTTATTTTAAGACACCCCCCCCAGAACTAAGTGACTTCTTACAGATCCCTTCTGGTTGCACAAACATCCTGAGATTAGTGGAAGGCTGTTATAGGAGAAACCTCTAAGTAAGGAAAGCCTTTTGGTTGCTTTAGTGTGAGAGACTGTGACATTAACACATGTGTAAAACCTGCTGTTTCTCACCTTCCCTTGACAGCACTGAGGTGTTCCAACACCACATTAGCAAAGGTGTCCTATGTCAGGAAATTCAGCCAATCATACCACTGTCACCTTAAACTTCAGGCAGGTGGCATTGATGGTAAGGAAGCAACTTCAGAACTCAGCCTTGGATTAAATGCTCCATTTCTGTGTGCCATTTTATAACAGCATTTTGACAGTGGCTTCTCAATGAGAGCTAACAAATATTAAAGGTAAGAGTTGTGTTGTATGAGGTAACTAAGCAATAGTGATTTCATAGGAGTTGTACATGACTGCATTTTATTCTCCACAATCAGCAGAGGCAGAATTCCTTGTGTATCTTAAATATTTATCTTTGAGTTAAATATGATCTCAGTCTTTAGTGACTGACTTTAGTTCCTTAACAACTGTTATTTTGGTGCAACTGTGCCGAAATTAATGAATATACAATGCTATGTCTTAAAACTTGAGATAGCTAAGTTTAATGAGAAAATCCTAGGTATACTTGCCATGGCAACCCCGTGGCACACTCCATAGGCACAGGTATTCCACAATGTTCAATGCAATGAAAGTCACAGCGAGGACACCCAGTCCTGATGACTGAGCCCTCATTAAATGAGCCCTCAATAAATAAAGGTCCCAAGACAGTGAAACACATGAGTGACACATCATGAGCTTGTGAATACTTTTCAAAAATTTTGTTTTTAAACAGGGTCTCACTATGTAGCCCTGGCTGGCCTGGAACTTGCTATGTCAATTAGGCTGGCCTTAAAATCATAGACATCCTCTTGTCTCTGTCTTCCCAGTGGTGGAATTTAAAGTGTACCACTACACCCAACACTTTCAAGGATTTTTTAGTAGTCAGTACACACTCCTGAAAACCTGTACTTACACAGGTCAACTAAGTGATTCTAGCACTGGAAAATATGCAGATGGAGAAAAAGACTCTGAATTCGGAAGGCACAAGCGATGCACACTCAGCAGCATCTAGGAGAGGTGGTGGGAACCGTTCCTTGCAGCTGGAAGACACAGAGTGGGGGGTGAAGCACTTATTATTTCTGCTGATGCTCATACTAACTTTGTCAGAAAAATTATCTGTCACTATGATGCTTCCCAGCTGCTCCATTGGCAAGTAACCATATTTGGAAAGATATTTTTTTTTCTAATTTTGGATTCATAGTCAAAAGAATAGAAAATTAGATTATTTTAGTTTTTCAAAATGCGTTTTGCTACTGCAGAAAGCACAAGGGCACACAAGGCGATTTTTATATCATAAACCCTAAAGGGAACACGATAAAGCTCTCATTATGCAGAAAATTTTATCAAGAAAAATTCTATTTTCATGTTCTTTCAGATTATGAATTTGTTGGTAGGGAAATGGGGGAGGCCTAGGAGGAACTGGGCATTGGGGGGAAGTATATGATCAAACAATATCATGTGAAATTCTCAAAGAATAAATGAAGTCATAAGAAAGATTTATCTGTATATATTGCCTCTTTCCAGAAACTCTTAAATAATGTGCAGAAAGGAGCTGTTGGTAATTGCAACTTTTCTTTCACCTATTTTAGGGTGATACGGGGCCTCCAGGGCCACCAGCCTCAACTGTAAGTATTCTTAAAGCAAAAAAAAAAAATAATGTTCTATTTGCTATTCATACTAGCAAATGCAATTTAAGCCATGTAGTTTTGTAAGAATTGTTAGCAAAATTTGAATATGCCTAGCAAGCCTTCTCATTTTAAAGATGGATTCCTGCCCTGAACAGTGAAGTACTTAACTTAAGGTCTCAAGGTAATTTCCCACAGGAGTCTATAATCAGTGTCTACATCAAACAATTTTCTATATCCGCACCATGGTTAATAATCATGTTCCTGTTTTTGATTACATATTATTTTGTAATAAAATATATGAGTAAATGGAGGTAGAACATTTTACTTAGTCTAAAAACTATAAAAGTAACACCAAATACAACCATTCAGCAAGGAAAACAACCAGCTCCATTCCTCCCTTTTCTTTCTTTCTTTCTCTTTCATTTTTCCTTTCACCCTTCCTACCTCCGTCCCTCCTTCCCTTCCTTCCTTCCTTCCTTCCTTCCTTCCTTCCTTCCTTCCTTCTTTCCTTCCAGTCTCTCTCCATCCCTCTCCCCCTCCCCCTCGCTTTCTCTTTCTTTGATAATAGTCTCATTACTGAGCACCACTGGCCCACCCAGAACTCAGAACTCATGGTGTTGACCAGGTTGGCTTTGAACTCATAGAGACCCACCTGCCTCTGCCTGCTAAGTGCTGTGGTTAAAGGTGTGTCCCATCAAGTCCAGCCAAGTTACACTTTTATACTGATAGTCAATTTGCCCCCAACCTGCCAGAGGCTATTGTTATTTTCCCATGATTTACTTGTGAGATTTGCAAATGATAAAATGGCAGCAGATTCATGAGAAAATTTAATAATGTGCACATGACAGGATAGTTGTCAGTTAAATGTTTCATCATTTCTTAAGTACTTAACCATAAATATTTGGAATATTCCCATTTAGATGTAATTTATTACTATATATTTCTGCATGGAGCATTAAAGAGTCTTGTTTAACTTAAGAAACACTCTAAGCTTAATGGAAAAGAATAGTTTTTTAAAAGATCAAGTATAGCCTGAGGTCTGTCAAATTTCATGTTGATATTATGAATGACATAAATTAAGCATGAAGTCACTAATATCCTAACTTCATGATGATGCTAGAAGGCAGGGTTAAGGATGTCTCCCAGTACTCTGGATAGAGCATTGCTATCTGTAGAGCATGGGAATTTTGAAGGGTTTTGATTTTATACATGTGTATTTTTCTTAGAAGTTGAACACCCCAAATGGAATGATAGTAATGTCTTACTCACATTTTCCAACTGGCATTTAAAGAAAAACTATTTCTTAGTCTACAAGGAAACTCAAGAATCCAAAAAGGGTGTTACTTAAGAAGAGCCAAATTCTTTAATGTTTTTCTTTTCAAGGTTGAATAAAACAATCTTGAAAGAAACTTTTACCTTTGTACCTTCTATTTTATACATTTTGGAATTAAAATCTTATTCGGCATCATTTAGAGTTGGGCTTGCTTATCATGTGCAAGGCACATGACTGTTTTTCTTCAGCTAAGGTATGTGTCCAACCACTTAGTCATTTGATTCCGTAGCCATTTTCAACTTTTGTTTGAAGGCTGATATGTGATCTTTGTTCATCATTTCACTTGAAATGGAACTTTGGACCCACAGCCAGTAAATTGTGTAGGACTCTATCTACATTGTGCATGTTTCAGAGATGCTGATTTCCCACTGCTAAGGAGCACCCCATGGTAGACTCTGCCATTCATCTATGAGACAATTACAGAGACAGAGCTAAAGATATTTTTGCTTTGTGATGTCTAAAGGTATGGCAAATCTAAATCCCAATGAAAAGTGTTGCATTTTATATATCAAAATAATAATATTATGTGGGCATTGCTATTTGATATACTTGCCATTAATTCATTTCCTTCTGTAGACAATCAACCATCATCTATAAATAGGGGTGAATTGAGGTTACTGTCAACCTGCATGCTCTAAATATTTAATTCATGTTACAATGCAGGTTAATATTTTATTAATTGAAGCAACGATATCAGTCTTCCAGGAAGCCAAAATGCCTAATTGCTCTATAATATATTAACAAGACAATGATATATCAGAAAGTTCATCCATAGTAGTTCTCAAAAACAGCTGCCCTCTAAAGGGCACTGTTTAGAGTTGGGCTTGAGTTCCGCTGAAAGTTCCACTGAGAGTTCCACTGAAAGGCTTTAGAAAATGCCAGCATTGGCCTCCATTGCTCCCAAATTCTTATTTAATAGGTCTAACGTGGGACCAGTACATTTTTAAAGTCCCACAAGTAGAGCTAAATATGAAGTTGGAGTGGAAAACCATTGTTTATGGAAACAGTAGTGAAATAAGCTTTCTTTTACTCAGAAAATTTCTAGAATGTTGGAGTACTCTGGCCTTGAAATCCAACTTAAAACGCAGCAATAAAAGAAATATCTCTATCTTGGGGGAGGCATATTAGTAAAAATCAAGATAGAAGATGCTTGGTTAAGTAGAGGGGGTTAGAAATACCTTTCAATTGCAACTTTAATCCAACTATTCAAGTATGCCTGCTGGGCTAGATGCCTCAATGTTTCCCAAAATTTAAAGTGCATAGGAGCCACCCAGGAAATCTTATTCGAGTGCATTAAGCGTGGGGTTGAGAATAGGAATTACACATTCTCAGTAGATACCTACGGATCAAACAATGCTTAATACTCTTCCTAGCTCAGTGCCTTATTTCATAGGTCAGTGGCTCCCCATCTTCACTTCGTATTCAGATCACCACAGGCACTTTTTAAAAATACTTAACTTTTAGGCTGTAGTCTATGCCAATGTAGTCTATGCAGCTGCAGTTTAAATTTTCCTAAGGCAACTCCTACATAGCTTGAGACCCATGGTCTTGAAAGCACACCTAATGATTTCTACAGTGTCCTCTTGACATTCTTGAACCAACATTTTGGAATCACTCATCAGTCAGTATTTGTATCAGGAATATGCAACATGATTAGTTTTGGGACTTCTGGGAGAGTCTAGACCCTTCAGAATACTTAATGTTTGGTTCCTGATTACTTCATTGTGAAGGATGAACTTCAACCTACATATTAGCAACCTACTGGCAAGTCCAGCAGCGATTTTTCTTTTTCCTAGGCCAGAGCACAAAAATTGACAACTCCAAGACACAGATCTGGGTAAGGAAAGTAATAGGCTGCCCTCCTTTCCTCAACTAAGCCATAGTACTTACTCATTTTGATTTCATATAAAACTTTGTTTAACAATGAATGAAGAGAAATAGTAATTGAGTATAATGTCTTTGCATGCAGGAAGTGTGTGGGAGTGTTAATTTTATTGCAGCTATTTCTCTATCCCCAAGAATCACTGTGCTTTGGCTATTGGCTTAATTTTCAAAACTCAAGTAAAACCACATTGCAAGTAAGCCAAAACAGTATACAAAACATCTATTTTCATTAAGTGTTGTGTTTTTTATTTGTACTTTCTAACCTCTTATATATATGTCTCAATGAAGAAAGTGGATAAAGGAGTAACAGAAGCCAAATTTGCAAGGAATAGAGAAGAGTAGAGTTGATGAAATGATAAAAAGGACTGAACCCTGGAAGCAGGTTCACCAGAGAAGTTCAATCACAACAGTTCTTAGGCTTTCCACCACCTGACAACCATTGACTCCTCCTCGTCCAGGGTGCCTTAGAAAACACAGAGAACAGGGTTAACAAGAAGATTGACCAAAATGGCACTGCAGCTTCCAAATGCAGTCTTTACTAAATTCATATTTGATTTGGTGAACATAGTTCATGTTCAAATTCCAGAGTTGAATTCCTGTGATAACATTTGGACCCTTCAGTAGATTCATCTTCACAGATTGTATAGACAGAACTCCAAAGTGACCAAGTGAGGGAGCAAATATTTACCAAAAGTCAAACATACAAACAAAAATAAAGAGGTGGGGGAGAAAGAAGAGGCAGCAAGGAGGGAAGGAAAGGAAAGAAAAGGAAGAAAGGAAAGGACAGAAGGAAAGAGGGAGGGAGGGAGGAAAGAAGAAAAGGATAATCTGGTGATTGAAAACATAGAGATGAGTTACCCCTATGTCTCTTCTATCTTTAACCTTTAATTATTCTATCAGTCTCCTTGGCTTGACAAATCTGAATGATGATTTTTGACATTATGTGAATAGATTTGCAAATCTTCCCAGATGCCTTCTTTAAAGCTTTTCCAGATTATTCTAATTACAAGTCATTAAGGAATAACCTCAAAATCAGCCCATTAAGTCTGAGAGTGGAACACAGTCTGTAAATCCTTGCCCAAGAATCCTCTCTAAATACCTAAGCCCAAGGGAAAGTGAGCTTGCCCCCCTCAGCACCCATCAGCCATCAGTGGCTCCTCAGATTGGTCTCCAGAGTCCCTCTCCCTCCACATTTGGGGAAAAATGAGAATATAACATAATTACATTATTTGTCCACTTCCCTTTCCTCCCTCAAATTACTCTCATATACATAGCCTTGATTTCTTTCTAATTCATGACCTCTTTTTTTCACTTAATTGTAGTTACATACCTGTATGTGTCACATATATGCAGGTATACTAGATATATAAATACAACCCAATCAAGGAGAACAATAGACATACTAACATGAGTAAAAGAAAAGTCAAGAGACCCTAGTCCTACACAAAGAACTACAGGCAGCTAAGGAATGCCAAGAATGAGAGAAATGATTTTCACCAGAACAGAGGACACAATTTTGTTGTCCAATGTGGTCAACTATTATGAGAAGATCCATAGTCTGTAAGGTTAAGATATCTTTATTTAGATAAACACCAGCCAAATGCAAGCCAGAGTGTGCCAGGGGCAGCAATGCAGGCAGGCCAGAGAGAAGGGGCTCCCATGTGTCTTGCAGCCCCTTCAAAACCATCACATGTCATCCTGACCTCACCTTGACCATGTCCTGACAGGCATGGTCAGGCACACCTGTAGCCAGCTTCTAGCAGGCATGGCTTACACTGTCCCCTACAATTCCCCTTTTAGTCTAAAAGAGGATTAAAGCTTAACAATGCAAAGTATCCAAAATTAGCAATCATAAAGGTGAAATACAAGTAGATACAATAATCTGCTATGGCACATCCTAACTATGTCTACATCCACTAAACCTTAAGGTCATCTGAAAAGAGGTGTCCAAGCCTGAATACCTCCATCCAATCCCGACCATAAAGAATAGTAAGCTATCCCTAACTAGGCTTACACTACTCTAATAGACAATAACAGGGGAAGCCGTTGTAGTATCCTCCAAGTTACTTCCTGCTGAAATGGGAGAGGCCCAGCTAGCTCAGTTGGTAGAGCATGAGACTCTTAATCTCAGGGTTGTGGGTTCCTGCCCCATGTTGGGCACCAGCTATTACGAGAAGATCCATAGTCTGTAAGGTTAAAATATCTTTATTTAGATAAACACCAGCCAAACACAAGCCAGAGTGTGCCGGGGCAGCAAGGCAGGCAGGCCAGAGAGAAGAGGCTCCCATGTGCCTTGCAGCCCCTTAAAAACCTATCACGAGTCATCCTGACCTCACCCTGACCACATCCTGACAGGCGTGGACAGGCACACCTGTAGCCAGCTTCTAGCAGGCGTGGCTTACACTGTCCCCTACAGTCAACCTGAAAACATGCTTGAGTTTTTAATTGCCTCAATCTTGTGCACATCTTGCAAAGGTAAATATGTGATTTCATGCATGTAATAGACATGCCATGTCCAGAGAACCACATTTCACAGCACCCATCCCTACCTTCCAGTTGGTAGATTATTTCTTAACACTAGTTTAAGACATTCCCTGGACCTACAGAGGTGGGGGGGATTGATAGAGACGTCCCATCTATACTGAAGCACTAAGTCTCTTGCACACAACACTTTCAACAATAGTGCTCCTCTGTGACATCCACTAACCACTGCAACAACAAGTTTCTCTGACCAAGGTTGGGAACAGAAAGAAGAAAGAAAAAAATCTAAAATATCAATACAAATATTTAGAAGGAAGTTTAACAACATGACCACTTAGAAATCAACATCAATTGGCTTATGAATTCTCTATTCTTGGGGCTTGACTATGTTTAAAGTACCAGTCATGAATTCTTTCAGATCAGGCTTCAAATCCAGTCAGGGGGGAAATTGGTCACTGCCATAAACACATTCATCACTATTGCATCAGTGAATACCTCTTGGCTGGCAGGTCAATATTATAGCATGCAGTTATCCAGGACTGGGCAAGACTACTGGTGTCTTTTCTTCCCCCAGCATGCTGCATAGTACCTTATAGCATCATGAAAGGCAGCCAGCAGGGAGAGTTCATTGGTAAGTTCAAGACTAATTCTCTGTATCCTGCAACCAAAAGGTGCAGTGTCTTCAGAAGTAGGGTCTTACCATCTAGCTAAAGCAGATAACAAAGAGCAATGGCATTGGTTTCTATTGCTTTCAGTATCTCCAAGCACTCTCTGGCCAATAACTTGTAGGGAATAACTGCTACTCACTGAACAAAGGAGCTTCTATGATCAAGTTTGAGAACAGCACAACTCTATAGCTACAGATCAATATTTAATAAGCAATTTGGCAACATGACCATTTAGAAAACAATAATAGTAGATTCTTATCTGTGGCCTGTGATCTCTCCAACCATAGGCTTTTGCCAAGGTTACAATAACAAGCATGAATTCTCTCCTGAGGCATGAATTCTCTCCTGTTTAATGAAGAATATGGAACATAATAGACACTGTATTTATTATTTAAAGTAAATAAAATATTAATAAGCTATAATATTGCTTTAGGTATTTTTAAACCAAGAAAATGTTATTAAATGTCTACTTTTCCCTTTTAATTCCAAAGAAGTCACTGTATTGATAATAATGTGTGATTACTACATGATTACTATAGTACTACATTACTATAACTACTAAGTTATAGGCATGTTCTTAAAATCATGTTGGGCTGTCTCTTTTTCATACATGCTATTCTTTTGGTAATAAATATTTGGTGTATGCTATTTCTTATCAGGGTTTTAAGCATAATCCATGTGGACACTGTAGGTGACTTATAGTCTTCTAGTAAGCAAAAGTCACACCAATAAACATTTAGAATTTTATGTTGAAGTTTTCATTTATTAATAATGTACAATGAATCACTTTGTGCTTATCTCTGATGACATGAATGTTTTCCTGGTTATATGCCTACAAGTAAAGTCACTGTATGATAAAGAATATCCTTTGTTCATTTTAACAAGATACTATCAAATTTCCCTCTCCAAAGTAGCTATACAAACTATTGGCTTGCCAATTTATGACTATTCTAAAAGCAACTACATCTCAAAAATATTTAATGCAGTTAAATGTTTTGGTTTTAGAACTTGAAAAGCCCTACAACACATTCAAATACTTATGGGGCTTTGGGCTTAATATGGGAAACATTACAAATCAATGAAAGAACAGACCATACCAAACATTATGCTGAGACAGAGGTTTTTCCAAGAGCCAGAAAAATATGTTACCCTCTCATAATATTTCTTTTCTCATGCTGGCATATATTTACAATCTTAGTAAGATATCAACTTTTTTGTGTTGTCTCATATATTTCCTTATAGTTAACCATACTGTCCTCATTTTATAATGATTTTTCCTCATCTTTCCAAAATGTCCCTTATGGCATAGGCATGTAAGCTCATAAGTTTCATATTAAATATCATCTTTCTGTTTCTTGTTTTCTGTTAGATATTTTTGAGGATAGTTTAAAGAATATTGAATAAAGAAGACAGTGGAACTTGCCTTTTTGCATCTAAGTGTACCAGAGTTTTACATTAAACCTGGAACTTTTATGATTGTTTTGTTCTGCTTTGAGATTTAACTAAAGAAATCTCTTTCTGCTTTAATTTAGCAAACTTTGAAAGTAGCCTACATGTTGAATTTATGGTATTTTTTGCATATGTTAAAATAGACATGTATTCATTTTACTTCAAAACCTCAATATGGTAAACTAGCTTATATATTTATATCTCACTTCCTTCGATAAGGCCTACTTGGCCATGTTGAATATTTTTACCACATTAATGAAGGATGTGAGCTTTGGTCTGACCACTCATTTAAAGGCTCTTCCCTCTCTTCTAGGCTCTTTATTTCTGATAAGAACTAGCCAATCAGAATGTCCAATTTTTCATAGGTAGCTTTCACTACTTTTTTTCTCCTTCTTTAGAAGGGATAATTTGTAGTGCACTATTGTCAGGTTCACTAATGTTTTGGTTGTCTTTGGTCTACTGTTAAATCATAGCATGGATTTTTAAGATAGACAATATTGTAACCTGGTGAATTTTTTGTTGTAGTGGCTATTTTTCATTAATACTTCCTACATTATCATTTGTTATGTGTTCTTGAGACCTTAGTTGTTAGTCTTTAGTGTCAATAGATGCCTTAAAATACTTCTTTGATTATTCTTTCATGAGTAATGTCAAGCTGGTTTTCTGGTTGTGCTGTTTATAGAACGTGTTATGTTTACCCACCTACTTGTATGGCAAGTAATTTTCTCTTACACCCATGAGCGAGTACTTTAGAGGTACTCTGCATAACTTCTTTATCAATGTTGTAATAAACACATAACCAAAGCAACTTGGAGATGAAAGTGTTGACTTCATCTTACAAAGAAAGTTAGGGCATGAACTCAAATGCAGGAACCTGGAGGCAGGAACTGAAGCAGAGGACATGGAGGAGTGTGTCTTACTGATTTGTTCCCCACGGTTTGCTCAATCTGCTTTCTTATACAGCACATTAAGGGCCATCAGCTAGTGAGGGATACCACCCACAGTGTGCTAGACCCTCAAACATCAATAATGAATCAAGAAACTTTTCTACAGACACAGCTAGTAGACAATCTGATGGAGGCAATTCCTCAGTTGAGATTCCTTTTTCTCAGATAGGTCTGGATTTGTGTCAAGTTGACACAAACTAACCAGCACAAATCCTGTATTATGTGCTATTTCTCTGGAGATACACAATAATATTAATGAGTTACAGTGGCTGAATTCATATTACAAACTGTTTCCTTTCTAGTTGGCACTAGTCCTAACCCCACTTTTTAAAAACTTCCCCCTAAATGAGAAGATCAGTCAGAGATTTGAACAGCATTTAGATTCAGAATTTGTGACAAGCTTTTCTCCAGGGCTTTGTAACCCCTTCTCCTTTGCTTTCCAGGGATGACTTTTGCCCAAAACTCTAAACTTAGATCTTTCAATTGAGCTGCCCGCAGGCTTTTCCTTTAGCCACTGTGTGACTCAGAAATGGCTTTATGCTCAGACTAAACCTCTTAAAAATAAGAAAAATGGTTCCATGCTGCTTAGGTTTTCCAAATACTGACTCCAGTTCTGTATATGCCTACTATTATTGCATTCCCATAACGTTTATTACATTTCCAGTTTTTTCTGGTGGTTTTTGGTACACCACACACACACACACACACACACACACACACACACACACACACACACACACACACACACACACCCACACACACACATACACACACACCCTAGTTTGTGTTTAGAAATACAATTTACAGCTGGGTGTTGGTGGTGCATGCCTTTAATCCCAGCACTTGGGAGGCAGAGGCAGGCAGATCTCTGTGAACTCAGGCCCAGCCTGGTCTACAGAGTGAGTTCCAGGACAGGCTCCAACACAATATAGAGAAATTCTGCCTCAGAAAAGCAAAAGAAGAAAAAATAAATACAATTTACATATTAGATAAAACTATAATAGAATGAGTTCATATTGTTCTAAAGAGGAGGAAGATGGTAAAATTTTCATAATGTAGAAAGCCCTCACCCCAGGGGGAAAAAAATCTTTAAATCACTTATTCTAAGAGCTGGTGAAACAGTGGTATTAATTGACTTGCTATGTCTAACTCCTGTTGCATTAATGAGCAAAGGAATTAAAGCAGGAAACCCAGCTTTCACAAATGTTCTCAAAGGGGTGGATTCTTCTGGGATTCCAAAGTGAGAAAGTTGAATTCATATAGTCACTAGGAAAAGATGAATAAAAATTATGATGAAGTTGAAACTAGAAAAGAAATTACTTTATACCATTGTTAGGAATTCATGAGTCCTTTTGCCTACACCCCATCCTTCTTCATCTGTGTTTTTATATTTGATCCATAGTTGATAATTTTCCATGTGTTGGTCCAATGGGAACGGAAAGATCATTATGGAAACTTAGGATGCATTTTTATGTAATACTGAATTGCGTTTTATTTTCGTAGTTGTTTTGACTATGTAAACATAAGCATTATAAACTTAATTATTCCATTAGCCTTACCATTGAGAACTACGCATGATCTGACTGCTTCTCACATTCTCTTCTACTCCCACTGA